CTTGAAGGTGTTCAAGATGGACCAGTCAAAGAAGGAGTTCTTGCCTGAGTTGTAAGGTACGAAGTTAAGACTTAAAGCTCGACCACGGCAGAATAGAGAGAAAGGACGAAGGTCGTACCCTATGCTTAAGACGTAGGCTCTTCAGTATGCTATGCTGTGTACCGCACCTGAAGTGTGCCTTGCCATGAGTCAGTCAAGGGGTACAAGAGTGATCCAAGAATGGCTCACAGACAGCGGTCAAAGTTACCCTTAGTAACTAGTGGACTAAGGAATTTTCTCGATTATGGAGGTGGTAAAAGAGTTCGTCGTAAAAGTTACGACGATGCAAGCTTAACACCTATCCGGATAGCTCTAAGTAGAGATACCGGATACGTACAATGGGGCAACAATTTAGAATAGTTGCAAGTAGAACAGTTATTTGGAATAGCTCCAAATAGAGCATGGTAGCTGCATCTAGGAGATGACATAAAGATTTGTAAAGCACACACGGATCTGAAAGGTTCAGACCCGTTGACTAAAACCTCTCTCACAAGCAACATGATCAAACATAAAACTCATTGAGTGTTAATCACATAGTGATGTGAACTAGACTACTGACTCTAGTAAACTCTTGGGTATTAGTCACATGGTGATGTGACCTGTGAGTGTTAATCACATGGCGATGTGAACTAGATTATTGACTCTAGTGCAAGTGGGAGACTGTTGGAAATATGCCCTAGAGGCAATAATAAAAGTATTATTATTATATTTCCTTGTTCATGATAATTGTCTTTTATTCATGCTATAACTGTATTATCCGGAAATCGTAATACACGTGTGAATACATAGACCACAATATGTCCCTAGTAAGCCTCTAGTTGACTAGCTCGTTGTGATCAACAGATAGTCATGGTTTCCTGGCTATGGACATTGGATGTCGTTGATAACGGGATCACATCATTAGGAGAATGATGTGATGGACAAGACCCAATCCTAAGACTAGCACAAAAGATCGTGTAGTTCATTTGCTAGAGCTTTGCCAATGTCAAGTATCTTTTCCTTAGACCATGAGATTGTGCAACTCCCGGATACCGTAGGAATGCTTTGGGTGTACCAAACGTCACAACGTAACTGGGTGGCTATAAAGGTGCATTACAGGTATCTCCGAAAGTGTCTGTTGGGTTGGCACGAATCGAGACTGGGATTTGTCACTCCGTGTAAACGGAGAGGTATCTCTGGGCCCACTCGGTAGGACATCATCATATGCGCAATGTGACCAAGGAGTTGATCACGGGATGATGTGTTACGGAACGAGTAAAGTGACTTGCCGGTAACGAGATTGAACAAGGTATCGGTATACCGACAATCGAATCTCGGGCAAGTAAAATACCGCTAGACAAAGGGAATTGAATACGAGATCGATTGAGTCCTTGACATCGTGGTTCATCCGATGAGATCATCGTGGAACATGTGGGAGCCAACATGGGTATCCAGATCCCGCTGTTGGTTATTGACTGGAGAATGTCTCGGTCATGTCTGCATGTCTCCCGAACCCGTAGGGTCTACACACTTAAGGTTCGATGACGCTAGGGTTATAAAGGAAGCTTGTATGTGGTTACCGAATGTTGTTCGGAGTCCCGGATGAGATCCCGGACGTCACGAGGAGCTCCGGAATGGTCCGGAGGTAAAGATTTATATATAGGAAGTCCTGTTTCGGCCATCGAGACAAGTTTCGGGGTCATCGGTATTGTACCGGGACCACCGGAAGGGTCCCGGGGGCCCACCGGGTGGGGCCACCTGCCCCGGGGGGTCACATGGGCTGTAGGGGGTGCGCCTTGGCCTACATGGGCCAAGGGCACCAGCCCCAAGAGGCCCATGCGCCTGGGGAAACCCTAAAGGAAGAGTCCCAGCAGGGGAAGGCACCTCCTAGGTGCCTTGGGGGGGGGAGGACTCCTCCCCTGGCCGCCGCCCCCTTGGAGATTGGATCTCCTAGGGGCTGGCGCACCCCCCCCCTTGGGATCCCTATATATAGTGGGGTAGGAGGGCCTCCCAAACATACCTAATGCCTTTGGTGCAGCCCCTCCCTCTCTCCCAAGTTCTCCTCCTCTTCTCCCATGGTGCTTGGCGAAGCCCTGCGGGATTGCCACGCTCCTCCACCACCACCACGCCGTTGTGCTGCTGTTGGATGGAGTCTTCCTCAACCTCTCCCTCTTTCCTTGCTGGATCAAGGCGTGGGAGACGTCACCGGGCTGTACGTGTGTTGAACGCGGAGGTGCCGTCCGTTCGGCACTAGGATCATCGGTGATCTGAATCACGACGAGTACGACTCCATCAACCCCGTTCACTTGAACGCTTCCGCTTAGCGATCTACAAGGGTATGTAGATGCACTCTCCTCCTACTCGTTGCTGGTCTCTCCATAGATAGATCTTGGTGATGCGTAGGAAAATTTTGAATTTCTGCTACGTTCCCCAACAGACATTACCTCCAACACGCTCCATTTGTCATCGTCACCAACCACAAGAGCCTATGCAGCCTCGGGGACAAACAATTGGACACAGAGCTGCAGTGTAAAGCCATGTCAAAGCTGGTTGGACTCCAATTCTCCTTCAAGTACCGGTGTGGAGTCGAAAATGGCACGGCGGATGCGCTCTCACGCGTCGGCCATCTCCTCGCCCTCGACGCTCTGTCAACATGCCAACCGCAATGGTTAGGGGAAGTGGCCAATTCCTACGAGACAGATGCAGATGCCCAAGATCTTCTCCAACAATTGGCCCTCTACAGTCCGGACGAGCAGGGGTACGAGCTCCATCTAGGCGTCATCCGCTTCCACAACAAGCTTTGGATGGGCGCCATTTCGGCCCTGCAAACCAAGCTCATCACCGCCTTCCATGCCAGCGTGGTGGGGGGGCACTCGGGCGCGACAACCACATATCAGCGCGTCAAGAAACACTTCACCTGGCGTGGCCTCAAGCAAGCCGTGGATGAGTTCGCGCGGCAGTGCGAGGTGTGCCAACACGCCAAGCACGAACACATCAAGACGCCAGGCTTACTACAGCCGCTGCCCATGCCCGTGGAGCCGTGGCACGACCTAACCATGGACTTCATCGAGGGATTGCCGGCGTCTGAGGGCTACGAGGTCATCATGGTCGTCGTCGACCACTTCACCAAGTACACACATTTTGTGCCTCTCCGCCATACCTTCACGGCTGCAACAGTGGCACGTGACTTTTGGGACAATATCATCAAGCTCCACGGCGTTCCTCACTCCATCATCTCCGACCGGGACTGCATCTTCACCAGCAACATGTGGCGTGCCATTCTTGATGCTGCTGGTACCAAATTGAGCTACTCCACAGCGTACCACCCACAAACCGACGGTCAAAGCGAGCGTGTGAACCAGTGCCTGGAGATGTACTTGCGATGCGCCGTCCATGATACACCGTCCAAGTGGCGCAAGTGCTCTCGACAGCGGAATTCTGGTACAATACTACCTATCATTCCTCGCTGAACACCTCACCCTTTCAGGCACTGTATGGGAAGGACCCAATTTTGGAGGACTGTCGACGCTCGCCGCACAATTGCCAGCAGAAACGAGCTCAGAGTTGGATTCGGCCACGCATACAGACGCCCACTGGGCACAGCTCACGTGCGCCCGGAATCGTGTCAAACAGAAGGCAGACAAGCACAGGATGGAGCGCTCGTTCGCGGACGCGCAGTCTACGGTGGCTAATCGCCCCTGCCCCAGGCTCGCCTACAAGTTCTTTGGACCGTTCACTGTCCTGCAACGCATTGGCGCCATGGCATACAAGCTCCAACTGTCGGACAACAGTCGCATCCACCCAGTTTTCCATGTGTCACAGCTGAAGCCTTTCACACCGGACTACTCGCCGGTCTTCTCCGAGCTGCCTCGTGCGGCAGACCTCACCGCGGCTCCCCTCCAACTCGTGGCCATCCTGGATCGACGGATGGTCAAGAAAGGCAACAGCTCGGTGGTTCAGGTGCGCGTTCAGTGGTCATCTCTTTCTCCAGCATCCGCAACATGGGAGGACTACAACGTGATGCGCCTTCGCTATCCTACGACACCTTGATGGAAGGACGACGCTGCCGCTCAAGGCGGGGCATCTGTCACACCTGATACAAGTGTATCGGTGGACATGTAATAGGTGAGGAGAGTAATTGGGCCAGAAGCAAGTGGGCTGGAGCCCGTGGATGTAATGGGACGCGTGTGGCCTGGAGTGGGGTACTTAACCTAGCGTGTATCACTGGACTGGTTATGCAATGAGAGAATACTAGACGACTCTGTTCTCATCTCCTTCGTCTTCCTCCCTCCTGCTCTCCTCACCTACCCCCCTTTTCCCTTCGTGCGATCGATCCCTTTCCCTAGGGTTCATCGGTCGTCGCACGCATCAGTGGGTGTTTTCATGGACGAGACAACTAGAGATATTTTTTCGTATTGTAGCATGAAACGTTGTGTTTGCACATACGTTTCTCACTTTTAAATATATGCATTAATTTTATTTTTCCGTTTGTAACGCACGGACATATGTGCTAGTTTACCATAAAATCATCATAGGTCATTAAATTTTTATATAATCTTCCTCGCAAAAATAAAATAAAAAATGTATACAGTCTGTTGGAGATGCTCTGCCGAACCAAGGACTCGATGGTACATGCCGTATGTCCTTTCCTTTCCGGCCGAAGAAGATTGTCATTAAAACTCGAAGTATGGCCTATAAAAAGGAGTTCGAAAGCTGTTTTAAAAAAGGAGTTCGAAATAATAACGGAGCGTATCTAAAATTAGCCGGGTCGTTGTCGATCACTACTGTATCCGCGCGGCCGAAGCTTTCGCGATATATCATCCGGCCCCTGCCTTCTCTCCTCCCCCTTCCCGGATTCCCACCCTCCACCTCCAAACGCGCACGCACGCGTCCACGAATAAAGGCCGAGGGCGGCGAAGCCAGGCCCAATCGCCAAAAACCCTAGCGCCGATCCGATCCGATCGAGCTCTGCTTCCCCTCCCATGGCGGCCCCCCCGAGCCAGGCGAGCCTCCTGCTCCAGAAGCAGCTCCGAGGTATGGATCCGCCCCCCCTCTCCCCCTCCTCGCCCCCCGATTCGTCGCGATCGCGCGCTGATCCCTGTCCCGGCGTCCCGTGCTTTGTTGCAGATCTAGCGAAGAACCCCGTGGACGGGTTCTCGGCGGGGCTGGTGGACGACGGCAACGTGTTTGAGTGGCAGGTCACCATCATCGGCCCGCCCGAGACATTATAGTGAGCCCCGATCTTTTACTCTGTAATTCTGTTTGCTGCAGAGATGACTCCCATGTTATCCATCGTCTTGATTCGTGAGTGTGCGATAGGCGTGTTGAGCTCTGATTGGTTTGCACGGGGTGAAGTGTGGGAATTGCATGTTTCGATGCCGATCCGCAGCGCTTACCGATGAATTTAGTCATAGTGGATGATATGTTTAGGTACTGCAGCATGTCTTATCTTATTATCCATGCATTTAGGTGTCACTCTGGGATTGCATAGTGCTTGCCTAACCAGCATTATGTCTTCATGCTGCTACAATTGAATAAACAGGGTTCCCATAAGCTATACCAGTGTTACTGACGAGTTGTAAGTCGAGACGGGCATTGTCCATCTTTGTCTACGAACAAATAGGCTATGTCAGTTGGCGAAGCTCACTAAACATAGGAGGGCAACAAAGTCTCTGGGTGGGGAAGCTTGTAAATATGTGTCCCTCTTGAGTAACACTAATTTGCTTCAAACAGATTAATTTGGTGGTATGAACGATGATGAAAAACAATTCCGTGTAATTGTTATGACTTTGCTAGATCACTTGGACATGAAGTATTTAACTAGGACCACAGCAACTGACATATAATATAAAGTATAAAATTCAGAACCTCTCTTTACAAGCATTAAATTCTGGAACCATAAGTCTCTGTGATCTTGTTTTGATAAAATGTAGTTTTGAAAAGGACATATGGAAAGAATAATGTACTAATTCCTAACAATTCTGTACTTACGTGTTTGCAAACAGATAAGGATGCGAATTTTATCCTCAAATCTAGTCCTGGCTTTTCAGTTGTGTCAAAGATGCTGACTTTTCCTCGAACCAAACGTAGTAAGGACCTAAGGATGATAAAACATACTTAAGAGCCTTGCTGTAGTGATCCAGAGACATCGCTTTAATGATTAATGATATCTACCAATGAAATAGACATTTAAGCTTATACATTTTTCTGTTTTCATGTGTTTGAAATTAAAAGGGTGTTTTTGTATACAGTGATGGAGGCTACTTCAATGCAGTAATGACCTTTCCTCAGGATTATCCCAACAGTCCTCCATCAGTAAGGTTTACTTCTGAGATGTGGCATCCAAACGGTGAGCTCTTTTTAGCTCTACCTGATTCTATGTCATCATGCCTATGAGCTCTTTGCTAGTTGTCTGACAATGTTTATGGTGTCGAATTCGCAGTCTATCCTGATGGGCGTGTGTGCATTTCTATTCTTCATCCACCTGGTGATGATCCCAATGGTTACGAGCTTGCAAGTGAACGGTGGACACCAGTGCACACAGTAGGGTTTCTTCTAGCCGCCCATAAGTATTTTTTTTCAAATATAATAATTATATGAAGTCTTAAATCTATTAACCCTTCACCCTGGTACAAAACCTGTATAGACCAGAAATATAGAAGAACTGCTGCTTTTTAATCAAATATATCCAAGGCTATCATCTGCATTATTTTAAAAAGCGGTTCAAGGCTGCTTTTTGCTTAGTGGTGGGACCTGTTTCCAGTTGTTAGGGTTCTGATCATCCAAACTGTTTAAACCTAGTAGCAGACCAGCTCTTTGCCCCTTTCAAAACAGAATTTTGCTGATAAGTAGTCTCAGCATCGGATATTTTTTTTTAACTTATGAGTTCAATCAGGTTATTTTTATTTTAGCACCATTGTAAGGCTATTGTTTTATTATTTTAACACATCTCTTGCAAAATAATCCTGAAATCATCGTATTGTACAGGCAAACAGATTGGGTATTTGGTCAAATTATTCTTGGAAGTGTTTTGAACACCAACTTGCATTTAGTCTTTTCCTAATTTCGTGTGTGTTCATAACATGCAGGTTGAGAGTATAGTTTTGAGCATTATTTCGATGCTCTCTAGTCCAAACGATGAGTCTCCAGCAAATATTGAAGCGGCTGTAAGTGTCCTCGCCATTTATTATAGGCTATCATCTTTCTTTGTGTGCTGGATGCATCAAATGGTGTAAACATTATTCCATTCTCATGTGCCTTCCATGCAATGTTGAAAATCACCATCTATCTGATCTGCAGTAGCTTGTTTCAGTTTTGCTAATTGGTGATTTTTTTATCTTTTATTTTTTAGCTAAGTTGTGGAACAAAGCATGTTGTTGTGCATCTGGTAGTATTGGCCAACATCTTGTTTGATTAGTTTCATCTCTGAGATTTTATACTATTGTTTTCTGGATCATTATTTAGTTTGTGCATCTGCTGAACTCGCTTTGGTTTCTGAAGTTATGAAATGAATTTTGCCGTGCAGAAGGACTGGAGAGAAAAGAGGGCCGAGTTCAAGAAAAAGGTGAGGAGCCTTGTTCGCAAATCTCAGGAAATGCTCTGAAAAAGGAGGATCATATGGGGGAGTCCACAAGCGCTGCAATTCTCTTGCTTTCACCAAATGGGGCACCTGATGCCAGCACTTGCACTTCTCCCCTGTTTATTTTCCGTTCAGCGTCGGTCGAATGGTGGTGTTGGTCTTCTCTCCGAGACACTTGGGGTGCTGCCTATTATGAACTTCTGATTGTATTGTGGCATGGAGTTGGTCAATGTCAAGAAGTATTTTCGTGTGATGCCACTTAATCGTAGTCATCGCCGTGAACATCATATCAAAGAAATTGGCTGTTTGTTGAATGAATCCTTCCCCAAGAATGTGCCCGCGACATGGTTATTCTGAATGTTAGCTCGTTCAGTGTATTGTATTAGTTGCTTTGGAAGCGTGTAGATGTTAGTGGTGGTTCTGTCTCACAAGTAAAGTTTCGTGTCCTGTGGCGATGCCTGCTTCAGGGAGGCCCGTCTTCCTTTGACGGTGGCGACCGCGCGGCTTGCGCCTGGCCATGCAATTTTGCTGGCCGCCACCCCCGTCCTTCCCTCCCTAACATCATCCCAGCTGATTTCCTAGATGGTCATCCACCGCTATCGTGTGGCTAACTCCTGGATTCCTCCGACGCTTGCTGATTCCCTGCGCGGGTGGGCGGGCAGGGCACGCTTGCTGATTCCCTGCGCGGGTGGGTACTCGAGGGCTACAAGCCCGGGAGGTGGCGCCGAAGCTCTTAATAAGAGTAACTTCAACGGGGCGGCCCATTTTGTCTACCGCTGTTCGTTTGAGTCGGCGCGGACAAAAAAAGAGGTCTAGCGCGCCGACCAAACCCAAATCGTGTTTGCTTCGCGTCCGCGCCGACGCATTTGCGGCCTAAATTTGTGCCCCAAATGCGTCGGCGCGGACGCGGAACGGACGCCACGCGCGCCTTCTTGGTATCCGTCGCGTCCCCACCTGGCGGTCGTCCAACTGCCCGCGGTCAACTTGGTCAGCTTAATTTATGACCTCGGTCCCCCGCGTCAGCGACGGCGGGCGTCCTTTTTAAGCCGACCCTGCGGCGGGGCCGTCCTCATCCGCTTCCCCGTCCACATCTAGCACGCTCTGCTCCCCTGTCGCCGGCAAACCCTAGCCACCACTACTACAGGGAGATGGGGCTCTTCTCCGGCGCCAGCAGCAGCAAGGCCCCCGCCATCTCTTTCCCTCGAAGTTCCTCCCGCCGGCGCCGACTCGCGAGCAAAGGCAGCACGTCAACGTGCCAGTGCACTAGGCGGAGTGGCACTGGCAGCACCGCGTGCCTCTCTCCCGTACCCCGATGCCACCCTGCCGCACGACTGACACCTGGATCCGGAGAGGATCCCAGTGCCGGCGGCGCCGCGGTCTGCTAGGGCGCACGCGGAGGAGGTGTGGCGCCAGTGGGCGCTCCTGACGCCGGAGCAGCGCCGCGACCCTGCCTACGCAACCGACTCGACCAACTGGGCGAGATGGTTCGCCTTCGAGCACGAGGAGGTGAGGGGACACGGCGTGCGCGAGGTCGACCGCAGCTTGCCGCCGCTCCCGCTCGTCGTCCGCGAGGAGGACCAGGCGGCGGAGGACGCCTACCAGGCGACCCTTGCGTCGGTCTACCAGGAGAGCGAGGAGTACGAGCCGCACAGGACGGAGGCGGGCAAGGAAGAGGAGACGTGCTACGAGGCGGCCATGGCGCAGGCCATTTCCCTCTCCGCAGCGGGCGACTGCGTCCTACAGCCGGTGGCCCCGCCGTCCCGTCCCCGCCGCCGCGTCAAAGCGGAGCCGGAGCCGTCCCCCATCGAGCGCTACTCCTGGACGGGAGTAGTGCGCGAGTGGGTCCATGCGCGACCCATCTGGATGGAGGCGACAGCGGAACAGGAGGCGGCGTGGCGCCAGAAACGGCTGGCCGAGGAGCGCCGCGACGGCGAGTACCTCGAGATGCTCGAGCGCGATCTCGAGGAGGAGTAGCGCAAGGCCGAGGAAGAGGTGCGCCAGGCCGCGGCGGCACAGGCGGCCGCACAGCCCCCGCGCCGGCACCGCTTGCGGTGGCACAGTTGCCCGCGGCCGACATCGCCGCCGCCTGGAACACGGCGTTCCCCTGGGCCGGCCCTGCGCCGACGCTCATCGACCTCACTGACCCCGAGGCCGCCGCCGCCACCTAGGGCAGTGCGCGGCCTCGTAGTTTAGTTTATTTTTATTTTTATTTAATGCTAATGTGGACGTGTGGACTCTTGCCGGCTTTCCTGACCGGCTTTAATGTTTAATTAAGTTGTTTTTATTTTAAATATGCATGCACTTTTTTTTGTCAGCACTGTTAAAATAGGTCGGGCCAGCGTTGGGCACATGCGACGATCCAAACGCGGAAGCGGACGTCTGTGTCCGCTGGCCAACCTAAACAAATAAAAAGCGGACAAAATCATTGTCTGTTTTGGTCGGCCCGGTGGAGTTGCTCTAACATCATCCAACATGCGGGTCTCCCGCTCACCTGGTTCCCGTGCCTCTCTTAGAAGAGGTAGAAAAAACAAGGTCTGAAAACAGGCATGGTGGGTGACAAGGTGATGGGACAGAATGGGACGGATCTGCTCAGGAGGCTACGTGAGAACAACAGGAGTCGATTGACATCGAAAGAGGTGGAGGTGGGCAACGGTGGAGGTCGATTCACGGCAACGACGCTCGATTTTTGGCAGCGGGGTTCAATTTTCGCGCTCAACTCATGTGAACTGAAAGAGATCCATTTGCAGAACAGAAAGTTCACGTGGAGCAATGAGCAAGAAAACCTGACCTTGAGCAAGCTTGACTCTTTTTTCTGCAATGAGGATTGGGACGTGGACTTTGGCTCGCACATACTCCCTACTCTCTCGTCCTTGCTCTCAGACCATTGCCCGCTTCTTCTAGCTAGTGATGAGGGACCAAAGAGACCCAATCCTTTCGATTTGAAAATTTCTGGACCAAGATGCCTAATTTCAAGAAGGTTGTACAGGATGCATGGAATGAGGAAACGAGTCACTCTGAACCCTATCAGGTGCTCTTTCATAAGTTTAAAAAAACAAATCAGCGGCTTAGGAGATGAAGCAAGTCTATTTTCTCTAACCACAAAGTGCAGCTCCACATGGCCCTTGAGATCATTCTCTGTCTGGATGTTGCTCAAGAACAAAGGTCGCTTAGCAGCGGCGAGTGGACTCTCCGTAAAGATCTGAAGAGGAAAGTTGTGGCTCTAGCGGTTCTCGAGAGGGCGAGAAAGAGGCAAAGCTCGCGTATTACATTGCTCAAAGAAGGAGATGCATGTAGGATCGGAAGAATGTCTAGAGGGGGGGTGATTAGACTACTTGACCAATTAAAAACTTAACCTTTTCCCAATTTTAGTCTTTGACATATTTTAGCTATCTTAGCACAAGTCAAGCAATCTTCACACAATTCAAGCAAGCATGCAAAGAGTATATGAGCAGCGGAAAGTAAAGCATGCAACTTGCAAGAATGTAAAGGGAAGGGTTTGGAGAATTCAAACGCAATTGGAGACACGGATGTTTTTGTCGTGGTTTCGATAGGTGGTGCTATCGTACATCCACGTTAATGGAGACTTCAACCCACGAAGGGTAACGGCTGCGCGAGTCCACGGAGGGCTCCACCCATGAAGGGTCCACGAAGAAGCAACCTTGTCTATCCCACCATGGCCGTCGCCCACGAAGGACTTGCCTCACTAGCGGTAGATCTTCACGAAGTAGGCGATCTCCTTGCCCTTACAAACTCCTTGGTTCAACTCCACAATCTTGTCGGAGGCTCCCAAGTGACACCTAGCCAATCTAGGAGACACCACTCTCCAAGAAGTAATAAATGGTGTGTTGATGATGAACTCTTTGCTCTTGTGCTTCAAATGATAGTCTCCCCAACACTCAACTCTCTCTCACAGGATTTGGATTTGGTGGAAAGAAGATTTGAGTGGAAAGCAACTTGGGGAAGGCTAGAGATCAAGATTCATATGGTAGGAATGGAATATCTTGGCCTCAACACATAAGTAGGTGGTTCTCTCTCAAAAATGGTAAGTTAGAAGTGTAGGTTTGTTCTGATGGCTCTCTCCATGAATGAAGAGGAGGTGGAGGGGTATATATAGCCTCCACACAAAATCTAACCGTTACACACAATTTACCAATCTCGGTGGGACCGAATCAACAAATTCGGTTAGACCGATTTAGTAAACGTAGTGACCGTTAGGGTTTTCGGTGGGACCGACATGCAACTCGGTAGGACCAATATGGTTAGGTTTAGGGCATAACGTAATCTCGATGAGACCGATTACACAAACTCGGTGAGACCGATTTTGGTAATAAGCTAACTAGAGAGTTGGTCAGGTAAACTCGGTGGGACCGGTTCGCTCATTTCGGTGAGACCGAAATGTTACGAAAAGGAAACAGAGAGTTTACATTGCAATCTTGGTGGGACCGATCGCTCATCTTGGTGAGACCGAAACGTTACGAAGGGAAACAGAGAGATTACAATCCCATCTCGGTGAGACCGAGATCCCTATCGGTAAGACCGATTTGCCTAGGGTTTGTGGCAGTGGCTATGACATCTGAACTCGGTGGCTCCGGGTAGAAAGAATCGGTGGGGTCGAGTTTGACTTTTGGTTTGGGTCATATGTGGATATGAGAAAGTAGTTGAGGGTTTTTTGGAGCATATCACTAAGCACTGTGGAGCAAGAAACTCATTAAGCAACATCTCATCCCTCCTTGATAGTATTGGCTTTTCCTATAGACTCAATGTGATCTTGGATCACTAAAATATAGAATGTAGAGTCTTGAGCTTTTGAGCTTGAGCCAATCCTTTTATCCTTAGTATTTTGAGGGATCCACTTTCCTTATCCATGCCATGCCATTCATTGAGCTTTTCCTAAAATGTTCATCTTGGAATGATGTTAGCTCAATGAGCTATATGTTGTTAGGAATTGCCAAAACCACCTAGGGATAGTTGCACTTTCAATCTCCCCCTTTTTGGTAATTGATGACAACATATAGAACAAAGCT